AACAAAGTATGTCCGTATGTCAACTTAGAGAGGTTAGAAGTACACAAACTGCTGAGAAATTGTGGTCTGAGAAGTTTTCTTGGTCATGACCTCTGATTTCACTGGTGTAGAGGATGCCCTCCTCCACTGATACAGATTTATAATTGCTCTGTAACTCATAGTTTTGGAGAACTGCTACATGCACTAAGAGGTAAGCAGACTTGACCATGGTCACCCAGCTAGGATGTATTTGAGGCAGAATTTGAATTCGGGTCTCTGTAACTCCAAGACATTCTTTGCCGTCTATCTTCTATGCCATTTGGCTGCCTCTCATCCAACAGATTCTATAAGGAAAACTGAAAAGCAGTTTGATTTAAAAAAAAAGTTTAGAATAACATCTTACACCATATATCACAATAAACTCAAATGGGTGTGACCTTAATGTAAAACAGCACATTATGCCAAAAAAAAATTAAAGAACAGAAGGCACCTTTTGCAACTACCACGTGGCAAAAGGGAGAATTCTTAACCAAACAAGGGACAGAGATAATCATGAAAGATAAAATATACAATTAGGATTATATATAAAAAACTTTTTGATGAACAAAATCAATGCAAGTAGAATCAGAAACAATGCTGTCACATGGGGGAAAATCTTTGCATCTAATATCTGTTACAAGTTTGATAGCCAAGATAAGTAAGTGTAATGGGAGACAGGCCAGTGAGGGCTCAGCTTAGGAGCAGACACAGCAGTACTCTGCCTGACGCAATCCCCAAGTGGATGTTTGGTGAGCGTACTTCCAGACATGGATAATGGAAGGTCCTCATGACATCATTCGATGACCATTTCCTGTCTGCTTATTGTGTGCTAAAGAGGGGCACTCTGATTGGTTGCTGAGTCAGCCTCATGCTTTTTTTTTTCTGGTGGTGATCAAGGCAGTGACAGCTGAAAGTCTCTGGGGAATGAGTGCCAGGCATCAGTGTCATTTTGCTTTTCTCACTCTGGCTATGCACACATTTGGCCCCTAATCTTAGCCTCTTTTTGGTCTTTTAATCTATCTTTTAATGCTCTTAAATGAAGAAATATTTAAGATGGTTGCAATCTTGTGAGTTTTGGAAGATCAGAAAAGTGAGTGATTGCCACCTGATGTCCAGGAACTAGAGACCTGCAGGCAAGCAGGGTGAGGTACTGGTGCAGTCCTGAAGATCTTGACCCAGCCCGGAAGTGGCTCTCTTCCAAGATATTGTGTCCTGCTGCAACAATGGAGTAACTCATCTACTGCTAGGCTATGCATTATTCAGAAATGAACTTGGTGGAACAAGTGTTTTGTAGTGACCTCTTCAAGTTTGAGCCCACGTTCCCCAAGAACCACGATGGTAGAGGGTGTGTCCCAAGTTTGAAGGGTTATATTAGTACTTGTGCTCTTACTACTTCTTCTCAGTTAAGATCCCTTTGTAAAATCTAATTGATGTTAATTGGGTTAGGGTTAGAAGATATATATATATATATAATATAGGATACTAACTAGGGCTTGATATTAAGGGAATATGGTTGAATAGGGGCTAGAACTGAGAGCATTAGAAACATCTGCTGCTTCTCATCAGGGATAACACTAGAACCCTAAGAAGGAAATGTGGTTAGTCAGTCCCTAGGGACTCAACTTGTCAGTGAAAGTGGAAGTTGGGTTATAGATAGCTGGAGTTTATATGGCTACATAGGAAACTGACATAAATATATAACCAAGAATCACTCCTCAGTGTGGTCAAAGATCAAAGAATATGCACAAACTATTTTCAGAAGAAGTGGGAATGACCAGAAACCACATGGAAAGATGTTCCAAATCACTAATAAGAGAGATACAGATTAAAACAACTTCATACCCATCAAATTGGCAAAGATGTTAAAAGAAAGAATAAATAATTGAAGGAAGACAGACACAATGATAAACATATATAGTATGTATGTATGTATGTGTGTGTTGGTGGAACTACGAACTGGTCCAATTGACCCAGAAAATTATTTGAATTTGTGTTAGAAAAGTCACAAAATTGTATATACTTTTTGACACAGAAATCCCACTATTGAGTAGTATACCCAGAGGAAGTCAATGAAAGAAAGGTCTCATGTATACCAAGATATTTGGTGTGGCACTCTTTGTAGTTGAAAACAAATGTGGAGCAGTGGATAGAGCACCAGCCCTGGAGTCAGGAGAACCTGAGTTCAACTCCAACCTCAGACACATGATACTCACTAGCAGTGTGACCCTGGGCAAGTCATTTAACTCGATTGCCTAGCCAAAAAAAAAAACAAAAACCAAAAACCGAAACAAAAACAAATGGGGAACAAGTAGGATCAATACTGAGGAATCAGTACAAAGAAATGACTCAAAAATGTTTGGTATGTGAGTGTAATGAAATATTAACTCTCAGTAAGAAATTGTATATATGAGGGATTTGAAAGAACATGGGAAGACTTGTATGAACTGAGGCAGAGTGAAGAAAGCAAAACTGAATACAATTTACAGGTGGACCCTGCCCTGCCCTCCCCACCCACACCCCCAATGCAATAGAAAACAATAAAAAAATGCAGCTGAATTCAGGTTATCTATCATGGCTAAATTTGGTCCCAGAGAACAGAAGATGAAACACACTTACCTCCTAATAGAAAAAAAAAACTACCTAAGGTATACAGAATATTGTTTAAACTGTTTAATTTGTTCACTTTTTTGGTTGGGTTTTGTTTGTCTTTTTTTCTTTTGTACAAGGGAGGATTCAAAGGAATAAGAGATGTGTTGAGAAATTATCTTGATGTAAAAAAAAAGAATTGAGCAAAATTCTTGTAAAAGGCAGCTTGGGAGAACTGATGAACTCTGAGTACAGAATGAATCACCCTTTTTTGACTTTTTTATTTTTCTTGGTTTGTGTTTGTGTGTGTGTGTGTGTTTTCTTTTGCAACATGACTAATATAGAAATATACTTTGCATAATTTTACATGATAATTGATATCATATTGCTGGCCTTCTCAAGGGGTAGGGAAGAGCCACGAGGGAGGGAGAGAATTTAGAACTCAAAATTTTAAAAACTACTTCTAAAATTTTTAATTTGGGAAATATTTAACAAAATATATTTTAAAGCATATTTTTTAAAAATAAAAGGCAGCTTGGTACTTGATCTAAAATTGGTCTGGAAGACAGGAATACTTGGGTTCCAGCCCTACCTCTGACACATCTGGCCCTGTCACTGTTAATTCTCTTAATATCTTATGGCAGACCAACTATGAATTGCAGGGGTGCCCACATGCATTGGTGAAGGAGTTTCTTCACCTGGGAAATCCTTATAACTAATGAATTCATAGCTCCAGGGCCTATCCCTATTATGTAAAAATTAATTTTTAAAAAATTTAATCAATTTAGGGGATTTAGCTAGCTGATCTCTTAACTCCATTCCATCTCTATCATTCTGCAATTGAGTAACGCTTCTATAAGCCCAGCCCCAGGGATGGCCTGATACATAGGCCGAGCAGGTGCTCGTCAGTGTGGAGTGACAGACACTTCTTCCAATGAGTTCACCTAACAAGTTGAGTACAAAGGTGGGACAGGACCCCGGGTTTCCTTACTCCTGGTTCAGTTAGCTTTTCAGTAATCAGATCAGAGCCTGCTCGCCCCTTCTCCTTGCTGCCCCAAGAACCAGTGACAGCAGAAGCTCCCCGGGTGCCTGGGCGGGGAGGGGGCTGGCCGGGGCTCCCAAGTCCCACCCCCACACACCCCACCCCCACCCCTTCCAGCCTGGCGCCCGCTGGGCCAGCTTCCCGTGGCTCTGTCCGTGGTGGCAGCCGCTGGCCCGGGAGGAAAGGTGCTGGGTTGGAGGGTGGGAGGGAGGGAGGGAGGGATCAGGGACCCAGAACTCATCCTCACACGCGGGGCTGGGCCGGGCTGGACTGCGGCTGAGGCTGCTGCAGCGGCTGCGGCTGCTGCAGCGGGTGCGGGCTCCACACTGACACCACCTGCTCCGGGCGGGGGCGGGCGCCTGGCGCGGGGGAGGGTGCCCTGCACACCTTGGACCGATACTCAGGTGAGTGGAGCGGAAGAGGGGCGCGAGGGGTCCCGGGAATGGGTCGGGCCAGGAGACGGGCTCTTGAAGACGCCCCTACCCCACGCGCTAGCTCGAGTGTCCGCGAGCACGCGTGGGAGTGGGCGGGGCATGGGAGTGGGGAGCGGGGATGGGGCTTCAAGGGGAAGGGACCAGGGTCCGAAGAACTAAGATGTTGGCTGGGTGTCCCAAGAGTTGGGATGGTGGCAGAAGCCGCTGGAGATGTCCGAAATATTGGGGTGAAATTCCGGCTCTGTCATGGGCTACCTATGTGACCTTGGGCAAGTCATTTTCCATCTTGGACCTCAGGCTGCAAAATGAGGAGATTAGGCTAGATTCAACCTTTTGTCCCTTAGCCTGGAAGAACAGCAATTCTGTTTTATGATCTTGTGTTGGTCTCTGCTAGGAGTAGGGGGTGGGGAGGAGCAAAGAACAGTTCTGAGACTGAGCACCCAGACTGTTAGGGCATGGATGCCCCAAAATACATTCACAGTCCTCTCTTAGAGAGCCAAGGACTCACCACCCTCCCCCAACCCATTTCACTGGAAAGCTGGCTGAGTTCTGGCAGCACAGGAACTTTGTTCTCATTCCTGGTATATCTGGTGGGAGGGGGCCCCTCCTCCGCCCTGGACTAGCCCCAGATCCCTCCCCAGCTCCTACCTTCACCGCCAAACCTAAACTGCCATTTCGATATCCTGATGCCTAGGAACGTAGATGGGTGTAAGCTATCAGCGGGTGTCTTAAGGTGCATGTCCTGCTCTGCATATGTGTGGGTGGGTCTGCATAACACCTAGGTTGCTCCTGGATAAACCTTGAGGTTGGCTGTTAGGATTTCACACCCAGACTCTGTGTGCTTAGGGAGTCACCTGTGCGGGCCCCTCTTTACTGAGAACACCAAAGGAAACAGGCTGCATTTGGAAGGGGCTGAAGCTGTGGACCTCTCCCCAGGATGGCTGGCTTCTTCTCTAGCCGACAGGCTCCCATGCAAAGGATGCTGGGTTGGGGAGGCTCCCAGAGCTGCTGAGAACTGTAAAGGCTTTCTGGGTAAGCTACTGAGCCCAGGCTCCTTGTATCAGTGGCCCTCTCCCTGTTTTCCTCCCCTACCCCCATCCCCACCCCAACCCCAGCTCTCTCCTGCTTCCATGGGTACGAGGGCATTGGGAAGAGAGCTAAGATAGGTCTGCCTTGGCTCACAAATTCTTTGGGCCTCCAAAGCTTCCAGCCCAGGGATTCTTAACCTTTTTAGTGCTGTGGACTTCTTTGGTACTTTGATAAAGACTATGGACTCCTCAGAATAATGTTTTAAAATGCATAAAATAAAATACATAAAATCGCAAAGAAAACCAATGATACTGAAAGTTATCAATATACTTTTTAAAATGCAATGAAATCTGAAATCCACTGAATCCACTGAAATCTGTCCATTGATCCCTTGGGAGTCCATGAAGCCTAGGTTAAGAACCCCCAAGGTGTCTGGCCTGTGCCCCTGCTCTCAGCCACCCCCTCCTCCTCATAGCTAGGACTCTGGCCTGGACTACTTAAGGGTATGGGTTTCCTGACTTTTTTTACTTTACCTCCCCCACTGAAGTACCAGAGTCCTGCTGTTCCTTTTCATGTAATTCCCCGCCCCATACACACACACACACACACACACACACACACACACACACACACCCCCCACATAATTTCTTCCCCCATCCACATCAAACACACATACACACCACATGATTTCTCTCCCCCCCCCAATCCACATTCACACACACCCCACTTCTCCAGTCCCCATTCCTCTTGTAGGATTAACTTTCATCTTGGCTTCAATCACTGGGCTAGAAAAATGCATCTTTTCTTTGTCTAGAATCTCAGAATCCCTCCTAATCCACCACATGGAAACATTATAGGATTAGGGTGCCTGGTTAGGCAGAAGGTGGGGCTATGATGGAACAGGAGGTAGCTCTCCCAGGGAAGGGGTAGGACAGGAGGATTCTGACACCCACAATGCCTGTGGAGGCAGATGGGGGAAGAGGGTGAAGGTGAGGACTGCTACTGACATCATTGATCCTTCACTTACCTGCTGCTACAGGACTCCACCCTGGGGTGGGGGTAGGGTGCTTGAACCAGAAGCTTCTTCCACCCCTGACCACAGGTAGGTGAACTGCTGCTCTAGGGAAGAACACATAGCAAGCAGAGAGTGCCCAGAGAGCAGGTATATTTGGACTGGCCCAAGTTGTTAGATGTTAGGGAAGTGGGGGAGAAAGAACAGGGCTCTCATAGGAGTAGGCAGCTGAATCCCAGATCCATCTCCCTGCTCCTTTCACTACAGTGGGTAGAGCGCTGAATTAGGAGTAAAAGGAAATAGGTTCCTATCCCTTCTTTTACTTAATACCGGTATGACCCTGGTCAAGTCACTTTACTTCTTGGGTCTCTGTTTCTTCTTCTGTAAAATGAGGAGGCAGGATTAGATGACCTCCAAAGACTCTTTGCTCTAAATCTGTGATCCCATGATCCTAAGGCATAGAGCCCCTGCATCTGCTAAAATACTAGGGAGGCAGAGAAGACAGACACTTCCACTGTTAGCCACGATCCCTTTTCAATAGCCTGGGAGCTGGGTAAGATTAAAGCAGGTCTCCCACCTTCCAATCAACAACTAGGGCCCTGCCTTCCCCCCTCCCCACACAAGGAAGACTTAAAGAAGACCTGGGCAAGAGGACCAGGTGGGAGTGGACCAACAGCTGTAGGAATATAGGCTAGGGAAACTAAGGCCATGCAAAGAGTGTAGCCAATGGGATCATCGCTATGAGTGAGAGGAACCTGGGAGGAGAGGGACTAATACTGAGGCTGGGGGCTTTTCTAAAGCAGGCAAAGATCACTTCAGAACCCTCTATCAATAATAAAAAACATGGGACTTCCCATTTATATATTGCTTTATTAAAAACCTTTTATAACTAGCATCATGGGATTTAGAGCTGGAAAAGGGTCTTAGAGATCATCTAGTGCAACCTCATCATTTTATGAATCAGGAAACTGAGACCTAGAGAGGAAGAGCCATTTTCCCTAAGTCATTTAGATAGCAAGAGGCAGAAGCTGGATTTGAATCCAAGTCCAGTGGCTTTTTGCACAAGACCTCAATGTCTCCTTATTTAATTTGATGCTCACAATGGTGTCCTCACATAGGAGACACTCAATATTTTTAGGATGATGACTTTAGGTAAGACAGATATTATTAGTCCAATTTGACAGATGGAAAAACTGAGTCCCAAAGTGTGGCCCCACAACAAATTCATGTTCGAAGTATGGATAATACTTGAGACTGGAAGAAGGGTAGAGGTCCACTGCAAATTGCTTCAGATGGGAGGCCAGTCCAGGTTTAGGAACAGTCGGGGATTCTCTGGGTCTGCCTTCCACAGTCCTTCCCCCTTTGGAACAGCCAGAACTCTGCTGGTCATTCAAGCAATAGATTAAACTTTTGCTCTCTTGTAGGGAGACAACAGGACAAAAGAGAGGGAACAAGTCTTTGGGGAGGGGCTGTTGCTAAGAATGATAGACTCAGAATCTGGAAACTTGGGTTCCAGTCTCTAGTCCAATATCTGATAACTGTGTGATGCTGGCCAAGTTACATTCTCCGGGCTTTAGTTTGTCCCACAGTAAAAGGAGGGTTGACAGCAGGTGATTTCTAAGGTCCCTTTCATCTCTAATGACCTATGAATCTGTGCTCATGGTGGGAGGGGAGGTGATTGAGGGGGTGAACAGGAGGGAGAAACTGCCAGCTAGAAAAAGTTAAATTGGCTGCAGTGACTGGAGATGGTGCTCCAAGACCAACCATCAGCAGTGCAGGGCTCAGTTAGCCAAGTCTGTGCATCTCTGAGGATACTGAGCCCAGGCAAAGCAGCTGAGAGGGATGCAAGGTGAATGAGGGGGCTCTAGGGCCACTGCCCAGGTAAGTAACCATCCTTGAGATCCCTTCAGCATAGGGACAGTGGCTGTCAGAGATCCTGGCATGTCCCTGAACTTCCCCTTCCCCTTCTCTGCTCCAGGGAGCAGGAAGTACCAATCCCCTACACACAACACATACACACAACACACACAACACACACACACACACACACACACACACACA